AACTAAGTGGTAGCAATGTAGCATAATATAACCCTAGAACTTGATTTCAGACTTACATTCCTGACCTGACTGTTAACACCTTCAAGTGATTCTGTCATACAGTGTTCTGTGCTATTGTAGTTAAGACATGGTCTGGCTCACAGCAGCTACTGTCTAACAGAAGATCCAGCTTGATGATTGAGATTTAACACCTTCCTCCAGACTGCCACTTGAATGCATCATTACCTGAGGACCGTTTCTTATCTATAAAGTATTTTTCTTTCAACCCTCCATTTTACTGACTTAGAACAGTGAGCACACTAACCTCATCTGCAGTGCTGTTCACTTTTCCGTGGGTGATCTTTAAAGAAAAATTAATGAGTTTATGATAAGTCTGTATCTTCTAAGATGAAAGTGAAATTCCTTCACAGTCCACTAAGGCTCCCATTACTTACCTCTTCTGGTTTCCTCCACAGCTTTGCTCAAGCCTCAGAATTGCCTTTTTGGCTAATGGGTGTCTCTCCCACCATTTGGGACAGCCACCCTCTATAGTCCTCTGGTGTTTACACATTAGAGTATATTTGGTCCTTCATAGTACTCACAACTGAATTAAGGTTTATTTTTTAGAGAAATACATCAGGAATTCAAACAGTAGATAAAGGAGTTCAGGAGCATTTAGAGTGAGAGGTCTCATGGACTGAAATAGTCTACGTTGAGGAACTTCATCTTGGTGAATGAAAGGAATTTTGTACCTACAACATGTAAGAACTGGGGGTTAGAAATAATGTTTATTCTTTGGCAGTTCTAACTAGCTGAACATTTAATCTTTTCCCAGTATTTATTATAGTGAGGTAAAAGGGAAAATTCTTCATATAATTTTACTGAAGTTATAATAGTCACTAGCCACTTGAATTTCATTAAAATTCATGGAGCAAGAGAGATGGCTTAGCATGCTACTTTTCCAGGGTATGCGAGCTTGGTCCCCACCACCCCTGTGATGGCTCATAACCTTCTGGAACTCCAGCTCCAGGCTAACAATGCTCTCTTGGCTTCCACAGGCACCTGTCTCCACGTGGCATATAGTAGTCACACAGATACACAAATAATTAAATTTTCAAAAAAATATATGGGGCTGGAGAGGTGGCTTAGAGGGTAAGCGCACTGGCTGTTCTTCCAGAGGCCCTTAGTTCCAGTGCCCACGTGGTGGCTCACAGCCATCTATGATGAGATCTGGTGCCCTCTTCTGGTGTGCGGGTCTGCATGCAGACAGCACTGTATACATAAATATTTTTTAAAAATTGAGTTTCTGAGCACTACTAAGTACAGTTTAAATACATAAGAGTTACATGTGGCTGTAGACTGAACAGTCTAATGCAAGTTTTGTCAAGTCTTACCTGATAATGGCTCTTTTCTACATACATGTTCTGCTAATGATTGGGGTATGTGGGGGTCAAGGTACATTAAGCTACCATGTTAGTTTGTCAGCACTTAACATAGAATACCACTAACTAGTTAGGTCAGTACCTGCACATTTTGTTGTTTTTGTTTGTTCTGTGTGATTTTTTTTTCCCCCTTGAGACAGAGTCTCTCTGTAGTCCTTGTTGTTATGGCTTGGCCTCAAACTCAAGAGATTTTTCTGCCTCCTGAGTCCTGGGACAAGGGGCATGTGCCACCATCTTTAAAAAAAGATCCTACACATCTTTTCTAGCTTTGTTTGGTGCTTTGCATATCAATCACAATGAAATCCCAGTGGTTTTATCTGAATTATTTTTGTGTGACAACAGGGACCATCCTACTTTTCTGTGGAATGCTGTACTTTGCTAGTTGGGGTAGGCCATGGACCTCTGTAGATTATCATTCTGGCCTCTACTCAAAAAAAAAAATCAAAAAAATTGTAAAGCATAAAATATGTGGAGTCAAGTGGTGGTACACTCATGTAACCAAAGCATGAGAGAGAATGATGCAGGATGACAGAGTTTGAAGATAGCCTGGATAACAAAGTAAGCAAGACCCTATCTCAAAAGAAAGTGAAAGGGAATGGAGACGTGGCTCAGCTGTTTGGAATACTGGCTACTTCTGCAGACTTGAGGTTTGATTTTTTTTTTTTTCCCAGCGCCCATGTAGAAATCTCTGTAAAACTGTTTGAGGTGATCAATCCAATGCCCTCTTCTAGCCTCAACAGACACCAGGTTCATACATGCAGGCAAAACCATTCACATAAAATCTTTTTTTTTTTTTTTTTTTTAAAGTAAAATGTATGGGGTGGGGTCAGGTTATATAACTTCAGGGCAAGTACATTTACCATGTATAAGGTTCTGTTTTTGATTTCCAGCACCCAAAAGAGGGAAATTTTATATGTCAGAATATTCATGCCACAGGGTACAGTGAAACTTAAGCAGGATTTAGTCCATCATTCGGTGTCAATATACAGGAGCCAAAGATTTATGAAGTGTGGTTAAAATAATTTCTCAGAATGTTTGTCCTGGCTTATAATTCCAACACTTGGAAGATAGAAGCAGAAGAATCAGGAGTTCAAGGCCAGCCAGTTTCAGCTAAATAGCAAGTTAGAGGCCAGCCTGAGGTAAATGAAATGTCTCAAAACAAAAAATTAATTTTGGATTGGGGATGTAGACAGTTGGTAGGGTGCTTGCGCACCATACATGATGCCCCAGCTTTGATCTCCGAGACTCCATAGAACTAGATAGAGTGGTGGACGCATAGAATTCCAGTGCTCAGGAGGCAGGGTGATCAGGAGATGAAGGCCCTCTTCGGCTATATAATAAGCCTGAGGCCAGATTATGCTACACGTGACCTGTCTCAAAAACTAAAATGCTTGTTCCTCAACCCTAAGACCAGAGGTCAAATCCCTAGGACTCTTGAAAATCTGGGCTCAGAGTTGAGGAAGTAGGAAGAGGAGGCAAGAGGATACTAGAACTGGTTGGCCAGTTAGTTTAACTAGACACCCTGGATAGATTTTTTTAGACTAGCCAGTGAGATAGGTATTTGGTGTAGAAGCCTGATGACTGACCTCAGTTTGACTTTCTTGTGATCTCTACCTGTGTTCCCCCACTGGCTCTCAGGCATCCGCATTCACACAAACAATAATAAAAATTTTTAAAAGAGGGGCTGGAGAGATGGTTCAGATTTTCTGAGATTGGAGCTCATAGCCCAGGTGGCCTCTAGCTCCTGATAATCCTGTCTTGAATGTCAGAATTACAGGTGTATGCCATAGATCCAGCCTATTTGCTTCTCTGTTCAAAGTAAATTTTTCTGATCCACCAAAACTGTCTTACTGACTCAGGTGTGGTGATGCATACCTGACATCCTAGCACTTGAGAGGTTAAAGGGGAAGGATTAGTAGTTGTTCAGGGAAAGCTTCAGCTACATAATGACTTCAAGACCAGTGTGAGGCATAAAAACTGTCTTAAAAACTAGCTACATATCCCCCCCCCCAAGCCCAAACAGATCCTTTTTACTATTTTAGCCTAAGTCTAGCAGAAATATTAAATCTTTTTTGAGATTTTTAAATTTATGTATATGGATGCTTTGCCATATGCATATTCAGTACCTGTCCTTGGAGGTCAGAAGAGGGCATCAGATCCTGGAAGTTAAAGATAGCTATGGGCCACCAGTGTAGGTGCTAAGATTTGAACCTGGACCCTCTGGAAGAGCAGTCAGTGCTTAGTTACTGAGCCATCTCTCAGCTCTATTCCCTCCCCCCCCAATTAACAAAGGATAAACATCCAGGAGTAGGCTTACGTCTAAGACTTGGGACTTGGGAGGCAGATGTTGGCTTATCAACACAAGTATGAGACTGGTCTGTTCCACATGGCTTGTTCCAGGCCAGCCAGAGCTACATAAGGGACAGTTTTTCCTCAAAATACGCAGGAGGGAAAGCAAGAGAGGCTTTCAAGCCTATTGAGGGTGTTAACAAAATCTAACAATGTTTATTTTTTGATCATTTCCTTGTAAGTATATGAGTGCCTACCTGTATGTATGAAGGTACACACACATACAACTGTATGCCCCATGAGGTCAGAATAGAGTATCATATCCCCTGGAAATAGAATTATATATATATAACAGATGTTTGTAAGCCGTTATGTGGGTGCTGAGAACTGAACTGGGTTCTCTGCTTGCTCTTAAAACCACTGAGCCACCTCTAGCCCATAAAATGCTCGTTCCTTACGCTGCTCCAGCACACTAAGTCCACTTGGCAGGGTGTAGGAACTCCTCTAGTTCAGCCTTTTCATGATGCAGGATTTCTTGTTGGGCTTCTATCAGTAGTAACCTGGTTTCTCTGGGTGGGTTAGTTAGCCTTTCAGCTGTGAACTAGCTCCGGTTATTTGGGGAAACAAGCCTGACCACCTACACCTAAAAGTGTCCAGTGCCTCAAGACTAGCTAACTTTTCTCAACTATTTCTGAAACGTTATTGCTCTGCTCAGTTTTTCCTCCTACATTTTAGGCATTCACTCATTTGAATTTTGTAAAAGCTCAAGCAAAACTAGTTAAGAATCAGAAGACACTAGTGGTAAATAATAGTCACTCAATTAGGAAAAGATTAAGTGTTAGAAACATTTATTTGTCAAAAAAAAAAAAAGTGGGAAGAATAGAATGAAACAAGGCTAAATTTCAGCTAATGCTGTACCACGATCACAGGTCTGACAAAACAGAAAAACAAAACAAAATCAAACCAAAACAACAACAAAACCCCAATGGTCCTAGCAACTTCAGAAGACTAGCTTCAATGTCCAGAACTAACAGAAGAGTTAAAGGCTGCTTGCCACTACATGGTCATTTTAAAGGGATAGGAGATGCTGCAGGAAGGCAGGGAGGGCTCAACTCCTAGGGAAAGTAAGATTAAGAGGGGCTCCACTGTACAGGAAAAGGGATGCCAGCGTAATCCTTACCTAGGGCTGTCAGAGGCTGAGAATGTAAGGAACAGTGAAAGGCTACAGACAACTAGCATCGAGGAAAGAAAAGTCAACTTAGAAGAATTAAATTAAGAAAGAAAACATAGTTGGTCACAAATTCCTTTGTTTACTGAAACATGAAGCAATGGAAACATCCCGGCAAAGGGGATCGCGAGGACCAAGTTGTCATATATGACCGCAGCCCGAGGGTTCAGTCCGCAATTATCCTACCTGAAAGAAAGCACAACACAAGAGGCTTACACAATGCCTGGAGAGCAGTCTGGTTCCGAGTACAAGGGCCCTGGTCCCGTCCTGTATTCCAAGGGTAGGGGAAAAGGGAGACGACACAAAGAACAAAACAAAATCAAGTCAGATTTTGGGTTGAATGTGTATTCCACAAAATAGCTAATATCTAATAGCTATATCTAAGAATCTACTTATATGCAAAACTGCTGGCAGTAAAAATTCAGCTTTCTCCTATCTGTGGGCTACCACTCTGCCTCAAGGCAGGCATACAATTTCAATAACTACAGATTAATTTCAGGGTCCAGAAAAAAAGATACTGAGATATCAGATATGGCTAATTTCTCTCTCCCTTCTCTTTTCTTTAAGAGATGGGATCTAATTATGTTGCCCAAAATGAACATGAACTTCTGTTCTGAAGGAATAACTGGGACTACAGGCATCCACCACCCATGCACGCCCAGCCCAGTTTTACTGTCATAAATGTTTCAAAGAAAATGTTCAAAAAATATAGTCACAAAGAATAGAGTGTCAAAGAACAGTTGGTCATTCACCCTTTACTTCACACTGTCAGTTCAGAGCCATAGTTGCAGTAGTTTCCTAAATAACCAGATATCCCTTGACAAATCAAAAGAGGAAATGAAACCACTGCTAGAACTGTCTATTACTCCATTGATGATGGGAACTCCAGACACCAATGGCTGGGGGAAAACAAAAGTTAACTCACACCAAGCTCCTCTACTTAATAAGACACAGGGCCAAATCTTGGTCTTGATCTGTGCCAATCGACTTCAAAAGCTGTGATGTTCTTGGATCAGTTCTGTTAGGGTGAGACCCGAATTTGGATCCCCAACAGTTGTGGAGTATTTCATCCTGGCAGCCTCATTAACATCAGGCTCCTGGGACTGCAACCAACTCAGGGTTATTCAGTCCATTTGAGGTTCACACCTGGAAGGTAAGTTTCTTTAAAAGTCATCACTAAAAAGAGGTTAGTTGAGCAGCTACTGATTGAAATTAAAATTCACTTTTATAATGTCCTAACAATACCCTTAAAGGCTATAATATACTAATGTAATGTTTAACTTTGAAACACACTTGAGAGAAACAAAGTTATCTAACAGATTAATACTATCAAGGGTATCTCAGAGTAGATCCAGCTGTAGGAATAGCAAATTTCACTCACATGCTGAGCACATTGCTGAATGATGATTTTAAGAAATCCCAAGTCTTACTGACACAACTATATAGCATATAAAAGTAACAAAACATACATGCCATTGTTTTCTTAACATGATAATAGGGTAAGTTGTCATGGGAACCTGGGGCTTTAACTCGAAGTGATGCTCGATTTCAGTGCAAGAAGCCGTGAAATAACTAAATGTCTTTCTATTCTAATGAAGAAAGCTCCTTGTTTCTGGATATCCCGAATTCTTCCACTGTCACCACTTACAAGATTTTATGTACATCAGAAATTATCCAATTCCTTGAGCCTTCCCTTAAAAAGCAAAACTATCTGAAAGAAACAGGAATTCTATCAGGCTACAAAGAACTAGGGCTTAAGTGTATCAAAAAGATGCTCTGCAGTGGAAAAGGAGTTCATAGATAGCTGGGTGTGGTAGTACACACCTGTAATCCCAGCACTCTTAGAGGCAGAGGCAGGCGAATCTCTGAGCTTGAGACCAGCCTGGTCTACAAAGTGAGTCCAGGACAGGCAAAGCTACACAGAGAAACCCTGTCTCCAAAATTTAAAAAAAAAAAAAAAAAAGAAAGAAAAAAACAAAACTTGATAGAACACATCATGAAAACATTCAGAACTGAGTGTCTTAGAACATTAGGGCTTTATCTGACTTAAAAGGTACCACACCTAAGAGCTTCCTCTGATAGAGGCTGATGACCCAAGAAATAGGTGGGTTTTGTTTTCTGTGACAAGGGTATCACTATATGTCCTGGACTTTGCTATAATTTGCTGTGTAGCCTAAGTTGTCCTCTAAACTCATCATAATCCTTCTGCCTCCTACCTGCTACTGGGACTAAAGGTATGCACCAGCATGTACTCCTCCTCTAAGAAGTGCTTTATAAGCAAAACTGGAACCCCTTGAGTTTAAAATTCTCACTGTGCTGCCTATTACTTGCTCTTGAATGTACCCTTCACCTTAACCACCAAACCACTTTAGTAGCTGAATGAGTATGACTTTATTATTTGTTTTGGCTGTCATGGAACTTGCTCTGTAGACCAGGCTTGCCCTGAACTCAGAGATTCCCCTGACTCTGCCTCCCAAGTGCTGGGGTTAAAAGGCATGTGTCACCACTGTGAAGCCAAAAAGAGCATGAATTCAAGAGTCAGGTCTGAGTCTGAATATAGGCTTTACCAGATCATAGGCAAAGTACTGATGCTCTCTAGGCCTTAGTTCTTTCCTGGATGAGAAAACTATTTACACAACGAAGAGCTAGTATGTTAGCTGTCCTGCCTCTTTCCCCTTACACACACACAACAAATACTGTTTACAACTGGTTAAATAATAACCTGATCATGTTCCTGTTTCAGAAGTAACACATTGGAATCACACTAACAAATAGACCAAATAAACCTGTGGCCTAAGCTACAGAAAATACTGAAAACATGTAATTTGTGCTTTTTGGTATGGTCCTGGTTTGATGATCTGGCTCCTCAGTGAAGCAAACGTCTCTTACAGGGAACTAAGTGTAAATTTCAACGACTTCCCCCCACTCTCACCTCCAGTTTTTAAAAGGCTGAGTACCGTGCTCGGTCCACATACTGCTCCCGCTCATACCGGGCCATGTCATACAGAGAATTCCGTGTTGCTGCTGAAGCCTGAGACATCTCACTCTCTGGCCCATAACCATAGCCCTCTCCAACCGCAGGGAGCACAGCTGCATTCCGACGAAGTGGGCTCCTGTCCCTTCCATAATAGGAGGAAGAGGAGGCGGCAGCAGCCATCGCAGCTGTGGTGGCAGCAGAGCCAGAGTTCTGCAATAGGTGTCTGTCATAGGGATCAACAGAAGTGGAGTTGAGGTGACTGGGTACAGTAGAGCTCTGAACTTGAGGAAGATGAGACATGGTCTGCTCTGCATAATTGTATGCGGAAGCTGCAGCTGCTGCCGCCACAGCTTCATAAGATCGAACTCGATAGCGCTTATAGTAGTCAAGTGCTCCATAGGCATCGTTGTAATACATGGACTCCCCATAACCCATAGTATAGGGCGTGCGCACTGCTCCATACTGTTCATTGTATTGCTCAGTGAAGTCTGCCACACGCCCTGTCCGGTCTACTGGGCACTCTTTGGACCAGTGTCCTTCTTTCCCACACCGATAGCAACCACTCTGGTCTCCCATCCCAGGGGCAGTCCGAAGTCGGCTAGTTGACAACTGCACATGCATTCGTTTGCCTTAAGGAAACAGATTAAAATTATTACTCATTAACATTCTTCTCCCTCACCCAAATAGAGCATAAAAACATACATACACTCATGTGACCCTATTTCATTCAGCAGTACCTTTCAAAATTAACTTTCAACAGAGGTGGAAGCTAGAAAATCCTTAAGAGACCAGTCAGATCCTTTTTATACCAGTAGCATACCAGACTCTACCCTACTTGTTTCCTTCTCCCATACAGAGAGTGCAAAGACTGCTACTTTTTACTAAGACTGTTACTGCTTTTGTAATCAAACAAAAACCTTAGTTAGTAAGTTTTATAAGGCATCCTTTTCCACAATTTAAGTTTGGTCTGAGCTCAATAGAAAAAACATGTGCCCCTAAGAATGCATGACGCTCCTGGGCTCAGCCCCCAACACTGCATCTCCATAAGCCCTCCAATCAATCCCAGTTCAACAGCAATCTTTTATCCACTATGTTCCCTCCAGAAATGTGTGCAGGTGCCTTGTTGGACACCCAAATCGGCTTCATTTGTACCTGTGGGAATTAAAAGAGCCTGTATAGATTGCAGCCCCTTCCCCACCCTCATTTGGTCCTCAAGAACATAGCTATTTGAGCAAAGCCTTTTAGAATAATAGTTTCTGGGGGTGGACATGCCTCATCTCTCAATGGCTTAGCACTTGGCTACTGTGTGCAAGGCCAGGTTTGATCCCGAGCACCACACATAAAAAAATGAAAACGGCACTAGCTTTTTACAGACCATGTTCCCATGTAAAAGAATGATCAGCATTTTATCCTACCACGAAGTTTACAATTCTTGAGTTTAAAAAAATTTTAAAGCTATGAGTGCTCTATCTGTATACCAGAAGAGGACATCAGATCCCAGGAGAGATGGTTGGGAGCCACCACGTGGTTGTGGGATTTGAACTCCGGACCTCTGGAAGAGCAGATGGCGCTCTTTACCACTGAGCCATCTCTTCAGCCTCCCAGTTTACAATTCTTCACAGGAATTTCTCTACAAGGCCTAAAAGACTTTCAGACACCCACTAAAAGAAACTACATTCATATTTCTGGAAAATGACCACTCAGAAATAGCTAAGAGAAAAATTCTGCCCAAGGGTTTGTATACCACCCAATCCAGGGATTCTCATCTCCAACCCAAAATTCATCTTTAGCAAAATCAAAGATGCTTAAAATGCCAGGCAATAGTGGCACACATCTTTAATTCCAGCACTCAGGAGGCAGAGGAAGGTGGACCTCTGAGTTTGAGGCCAGCCTGGTCTATAAAGTGAGTTCCAGGACATCCAGGGCTACACAGAGAAACCTTGTCTGGACAAAACAAGCTCAAGCCTCTGACATCAGCTGCTAGTAGACAGTCTTCATCACAACTACTGATGCCATCAAGAGACGGTATTCTCTGAAAGTAGCATGAAGCCATCTAACTCACTGTTTTTAGAGACAAGTATTCCCAATCATATAGTTATGAAGAATATATGTACTCATCAGGAACATTTCTGTCCCCATTTATACCTCATATATAGAGTGCTGAGTCAATTTTTCAGAGAAACACAGTGCTTTTTCCTTAAGTCTCAGCCCTGTCTGTGCTTTTAATTTAGAGCATGGGAGTGCTTTACCGAACTTCTGTGGCAAAATCTATTTCAGCAGTTGTGAAAAGGATGCCAGTAATTTTTTTTGCTTTTGACTTAGAGGTAGAAGCACCCGTAATATAAATGCTAGGTGGCTCCCTTGTTTTGGATTCTTTCCAAAGATTACCTGGGCTTTTAATTTAAAATCTATCTCTAAAGTTCTGAAAGAGTGCTTCTCTATTAGCTTTAGAGACAAGTTTTACCATTCTACTGATTGTAAACAGATCAAACTCTTAGATTTCCTGAAAACTTGAAGTTACTGAAATCAGGCAGTATTTTCCAGAAAACCAGCCCAGTAAATGTATTTTCTCTTGAAAGTTGTAACAAAAAAGATTAATAAAATGCTAAAATGTGAGAAATTAATCCTAATTCTTAAATTATATCTTGGTTAGAGTTCAAAGAAGACTGGAGATGTAGGTGATACAATAATGATCCATTGATTTAATGCTGAAACAACACCCCTAAGTTCTTACACATCCTTCCCAATTCAGCTGCCCGGATGGGAACAGCTTCTTTATGGTTTCCAATTCAAACTGCATTCAACTGCTGCCTGTGGAGAGGAAACATCTTGAAAGACCCAGGTAAACTCAACCTACCTTTTTAGAAGTTATACAATACAGAAACTTAATTTTAGACAACCGTTAACACACAGAAGTAAAGGTTCAAATGATGCTCAGAGTAGCACTTTTTAGACCAAAAAGACTTCAAGTTGAACAAAATGCCAAATAGGCATCTAGATTGTGTTTTCTGTAAGATGTGACAGGATTATATAGACAATCCCAGCACTGAGAAGTCTGAAGCAAAAGGATTTATTGTAAGTTTGAGGGCCAGCCTGAAGTATACGTCAAGACCCTGGCTCAACAAACAAACAAAAAAAACAATTATCCAATACTAAACTTTATATTGCTACCTGGAAAAAAAATAAGCTAATTATAAAAATATCTGCATATGTAATCAGGAGTACACCACTCTGCAGAAGAGGCAGAAAGAGAACTTGATACCAAATAAATGATTATTCTTTTTCAACTCAGTTTATTGTCTGTATTTTCTATGGAAGCGATAAAAATTCCTCCATTGCATTATTCAGATCTGTTTCTCTTGTAATTATATCTTTTATTAAACAAATACAAGGGGCAAAGAGTATAACTCAGTGGTACTGTGACCATAACATGCTTAAGATCCTGTGTTCAATATTCAGCACCCCAAAAAACAAGCAAAAGGCCCCGCATACTCATCCTTCTAAGCTAACTCCTATTTTCCCATTACCTTTAAAAATTAAAAGATATATAATATTATAATTTATCTGTAAAGTTAGTGCCTGTTTTAAGTCTTTTTATTTTGTTTGCCACCTGTTAAGCACACCCTTCTTTAGGGATGGGGTCATACTAATGGCATAGCACTTGCCAAGAGCCACTATGTGGCCCTTGGATGACCCCAGAATCAAGGAGGTGGGTAAGGACTGACTCTTTCCTTACTCTCCCCTGTTCAACCAGGACCTTCCACATCAAGTGAAGACAATTAGGAATTTTTCAAAGTGTGCTAGTGTTGTTCCAAAATAAAAGAAAAAAATATAAATTAGAAAACTCTCACTTTTTTTGTTTTGGTTTTTCGAGACAGGGTTTCTCTGTGTAGCCGTGGCTGCTTGGAACTACGCTGTAGACCAGGCTGGCCTCGAACTCCACCTGCCTTTGCTTCCAAGCACTGGGATTAAAGGTGTGATCACCACCATCCAGCTAACTGTCACATCAGAGTAGAAACAATCATGGTTGCAAATAGCACTCAACTTTCATTATATATTGCTTTTATTGCCAAAATGCACTATTACCTCACTGCCATCCATTGTGGGAGGCACATCAAAGATGACTATCTTATAGTGGGGAAGAGCACAGCAGGTACACTTGTTAGCCTGCTGGTTAAGGATTGGGATTAACTGCAGCATTTACCCTCACCTTTCACTACCTAAAGGCCAGTGATGCAGCTAGAATACATGACGGTGAGCCTCGAGTAAGCTTCACTATTTGATACTTAGACTTTTCTGATTAACCTTCCTCTTCCCCCACGATTTCATTGTTTTTTAGGTTTATTAATGGTACTTAGGGAAAATAGGTGCTGGTTTAGGAACTACAGAAGTAGCCTGAATATGTGGTCCAACCTGACACTCTCAATAAAAGCCTTGTAGAACTGTGCTAACCAATAGAACTTCCTGCAACTGGGTCTGATCTATGTCTTCTCATACAGTAGACATTTTTTCTTGTATGACTCCTGTGTTCTTGACATATGCCCACTGGAAAAATCAATTTGAAAATTTACTTCAATTAAATTTACATGTAGCTAGCAGCTACTATATTAACATAACTCTAGGGTTTTCAGATAAGCTCCTGTGGTATTAATGTTAATACATACATACACAGTTATTATCAATATAAGCAACACAGTAAGCTATATTATGCCCTCACTGGAATTTCCACAGAAGAACAGAACCATCATTCCCATTCTTGAGTTTCTAAAGAAAAAATTTCTTAACCTGTTAGAGTTAAGTAACAGTTACGTGGAGAAGAAGAACCTATGACATGTTTCCTGGTTTTGCTTGTAGTCCACAGACTAAACATACTTGGACACCCCAAAGATAACCATCCTCCCAACCAGACTTTCCACCAAAGATCTTATACAATGCTTCCTCTAGATACCCTTTCTCCTCACTGCCATCCGTCACTCAAAGCAGCAGAATATAAACACTCTCAAAGGCTTCTGGGTCACAATCAAAGCAGCAACTAGGTTGAAACCTCTAGGCATTCTTCTCATAACAGCAACTCATCTAACCTAGCAACTTAGAATTCTAACAGCACTCAAGTGAATGAACACTGAAGAAAGTAACCCACACTTTGTGACCCAACAAAGTTGGGTAGAAAAATCCTGGCAAACATAATGAAATGTTTACTGCCCTAAGAGTAAATGTTTAAAGAATAGTAAACATAATCTATTCTTTTCAATTAAGAGAATGGTGGAAGCCACTCTCATAACCCCATGGTCTTATATGTTCTTGCCTCTGCCTTCCGCTAGACTACACGAAGGTCTGCCACCCAAGCCCCACAACAGTTCACCTTGAAACTCTGTGTTGTCAAGGCCCCTGATGGCCTCCACTGCATCCTCTGCCCGCTCCATGTGTACAAAGGCATAATCTTTCACGATGTCACATTCGATGACTGGGCCATACTCCTCAAACTTGGCCCGAAGCTCTTGGTTGGTACAAGTGGGACTGATGTTGCCCACATGTAACTTGGTTGAAGCTTTGCTCTTATTCTTGCTGGCTTCCACATTGATGTTCACTCCGTGCAGCTTGTAGTGGTGCAGGTTGCGTATGGCATCCTCAGCGGCCGTCTTGTCCTCTATGTGCACAAAGCCATAGTTCTTAATGATGTCACATTCCAGCACCTTCCCGTACTGCTCGAAGAGTGAGCGGATCTCCTGCTCTGTGGCCTCCCGGGGCAGATTTCCAATGAACAGCTTCACCATCCTGACAAGAGCCTGGCAGAGAAGAAACAAGATTGCAAATTCAGGTGTGAAGTGAGAAACTGAATAGTACTGCAGCATTTTCGTTTAATGGCCCAATTATTAGGACCTTCCCGACCCTCAAATGATTATGCTTTTTGAGAGAGGAACAGCAGTTTGTTCCTAAGTAGTAAAGCTGTGGGACAAGGCCAACAGAAGGTCGGGGTTAAAACGCACAAGGTACAACATCTCCGTGAGGTCAGGCACATTTAATCTACAAGGTTAGTTGCTTCACGGCTTAGCACAGGGATGGAAAAGCCAAGCAGAAGGCATGAAGTATCTGAATATCCCTAGTCCCAAGATTTTGGAGGGAAATCTGTGTACTTCTCCACAGCGCGGTATCACCTCCCACCATACTCCAAGAAAGCCCTCTTTGGTTCCCACACCTGGGACCCCCTTCCCCGGCGGCCCAACCTCCGCGCCTACATCCCAACAAAGGCTCGGCCCGACCCCTGCCCCGCCCCCTCCGGAGATCCGGCCCCGCCTCCTTTCGTTGTCTTCCCGGGACCTTCCTCAGAAGATGGGTGGCCCCAAACCTCGGCCTTCCCAGCCCTCCCGAGGTCTGGCCAGGCCCATGCCCGGGCTCCCCACACACCCACAGCATCCTCTCCTACCTCCGGGTGGTGCCGGCGGTGGCGGCGGGTCCCGCGTCAGAGAGAACCCTACAAAATGGCGACGGCCGCTCGAGCCTCGGCGCGACCGGGCGCTTTCTCGCGCGCCAGCTCACGCACGCGCGAGTGCGCGCTGCCTGCCTCCCCTCCCCCCCTCGCTGGAGCGGGGCGACCAATCCTGCGGCCGCACACAAATGGACGCCCCCGTGCGGGGGCGGGGTCATGCGGTGACGGCACTGCGGAGCGAAGGTCAGCCCGCCCCCAGCCCCGGCTAGCCAATCACTGCCCTGGGAGGGGGTCGCGGTTCGCGCGTCAGAAGGGCTCAGGAAGCAAGGCGAGACCGTAAGCCCAGGGGGCGTCTCAAACCATCACAATGGATCGTGCTATTAGGCACGCTGTGGAGGGGGTGGGGGCGCTAATGACAAAGGGCTGTCTCACCCGGCCCGCTAGACGGGGGTTTCCTCCACCTCTGTTAGCCCGGGGCGGCACTTCAGAAATCCAGGCCCCGCCGCATCCTAACCCAGTCTCTCCCTCGTTAGAGGGAAGGGATATGAATCCTCTTAAAACAGTTTTCCCCCCCGCAGTGGCGATGCTCACTGGGGAAGAAGCCGAGACCGAGCCGAGGAGCGGAAAGAGGATCTGTGATAGAGCCGGGTTAGATCTCAACTAGATCTGTAGTTTCTCCATCCAAACTACACTTTGCCATGTTTATTCATGAATATGCGTGGGCTGGACCTTCCCTCTCTGTAGTGTATCTAGCATGCTTGCTGAAATGTGGCGAGCACTCCCAAGGAGTACGTGCTGCAGAAGTCCTGAGAGATTCCCGGTTTGGGATTTTTGAGTGACAAGGGTTCCGCGTCCATTCCAAGCTGATTGAGATACAGGCAGTTGTCAGACTCCAGGCTTTAGCTGCGGTCCAAGGGCACCTCCTGGTGGCAGCAGAGTACGGGCTAGGTGGACAACAAAGCCTAGCCGTTTACACGGATTGATGGACTGAGTTTATCTCCTAGTAGAGGCACCAGGATGGTTGTCAAAACAATTCCTCATTGCGCTAGTTCCAACACCAGCGCCTCGGATACTGTAAAGACCAACTCCCCAAGTTGATTTCCTATACAAGCTACTTGGAAATGTTTCTTTACCAAATCCATGTTTCCCAGTCATTTCAGAAGCCATTGTCTAATTGTATTAACAGACACACAGTTTTAAAATTACATTCTTTCTTTACGGAGATTGGGTTTCTCTTGCACTCTTGGCTGTCCTGGAATCCACTCAGGGTCTGCTATCACCCAACCTCATACACTGTATTTTGGTTTCTGTCCTCTTCCCAAATTCCATGAGGTCTCAACTAATGTTCCACTAACGGTTACCATCTTTCTATAAAATTTTGATTTCATTCCTTTCCTTTTCTCTCTCTTCTTTTTGAGATGGCCTTACTAGGTAGTCTAGGCTGCTGTGTAACCCAGACTAGCCTTGAATTCACCATCCTCCTACCTCAGCCTCCCAAGTGATGGGAATTCCAGCTGTGTACTACCATTTCTAGCTTCTGGTTTTCCTTCTTTTTTTTAATAGTGAAAAAAATTATGTGATCCGGGTGGTGGTGACATATGCCTTTAATCCCATCACTCGGTAGGCACAGGCAGGTATATTTCTGAATTCAAGGGCTGCCTGATCTATAAAGCAAGTTCCAGGACAACCAGGGCTACACAAAGAAACTCCATCTCGAGGGGAAATAAAAGAAAATATCATGCATATGGTTGTGTCTTTGTGAATATATGCCATGTGTGTGGAGGCCAGAAGAGGGTGTCGGATCCCATTGAGCTGGAGTTGTAGGTAACTGTGAACTGTCCAATGTAATGTGTTTTTTTTTCTTTTTTTGTAAATGCAATGTAAAAAATTTTGGGGTCCTCTGCAAGAGCAGTAATTGTTCTGAACTGCTGAGCCATCTCTTCAACCTCTCAATAACTATACTGGTATGTCAATGTCATTTAATATTTATGTTCAAACTTTCTCTATATTTTCACAAATACCCTTTTACAGTTGGCTTCTTTGCTGGACCTAAACAAGATTCACCCTTTGTACAACTGTCTAAATTATGTAAATGTATGTTATGTAGCTAATTATTCCTTGCTTTTCCTCACTGAGTGTGATATGTAAAGTTTAGTTTCTGAGTTACTCCTTGCTGCGCAGCCATGCATTTCAGCTTCCCTTTGTTGGAGATAAGATGCTAAAATTGCCTCAGTTCCTCAGCATTTTACACTACATTGTGGATAACAGTCTATATGTGTTTTAATTCTGTAGAGGAATATAAATTCAAGGGTAAATTTGCTGAGTTGCTAGGTCATAGAATGTATATAACCACTAACATGTCACCAGGCTTGGTGGCGCATGCCTTTAATCCCAGCTCTTAGGAGGTAGAGGCAGGGAGATCTCTGTAAATTCAAGTCCATCCTGGTCTATAGAGCAAGTTCCAGGACAGCCAGGGCTATACAGAGACACCCTGTTCCAAAACAAAAACAAAAACCAACCAACCAAAAAAGCCAAACCCTAACTTGTCTAAGTAGTACCAAGTTCCCAGAAAAGCTCTGCTAGAATAACCTTGAAACACGCGAGGGACACTGATGTTTTGTTTTTCTGTCTTTACCAAGGATTGACATTCACTTTCCTAATTTTTGTCAGTTGAAGAGGTGTAAGGCGTTATTCCTAACTTGCTTTGATTTGTTTTTGTCTCATTACTAATGATTTGGAAAATATCTTCTTGTTCTTAAAGTCTTGGGGTTTGTGTGAATTTAAATCACCTTTCCTGGGTCAGGCTGGATGCCTTCAAGCCCAGCACTTGGGAGGTAGAAGCAGGTGGATCTCTGAGTTCAAGGACAGCCTAGTCTACAAAACAAGTCCAGGACAGAAAGAGCTTGTTACACAGAGGAACCCTGTCTTGAAAAAAAAAAACAAAACAAATTCCTGCCTGTCTTTCAGGTTACAGGCTTTGTGTTGAGCTGTAGGACTTTCATGCATATTATTGCTGTTTTTTTCCTTTTTTTTTTGGGGGGGGGGACAGGGTTTCTCTGTGTAGCCTTGGCTGTCCGGGACTTACTCTGTTGACCAAGCTGGCCTTGAACTCACAGAGATTCGCCTGCCTCTGCCTCCCTGAGTGCTGGGATTACAGGTGTGTGCCACCGCACCTGGCTGTAGCTATTTCTAATTGGCTTTAAATACCTTGTCATTCTACTACATGTTTGTAGTAGACAAAAATACATGTTTGTCTTTGGAGGGAAATCCTTTTTAATATAACCAAATTAATTACTGTTTCATAAAGCCTGCTCTTTGTTCTCTTTAAGATACCCTCTCCTACCCCAAGTCATAGAGTAGTCTGTGTTCTCTTCCATTCTCAGTACCTCCCACTTTTAGGCTTGTGCTCCATTTTGAAAAGTGCCATCCAATGGAGATATAATGAGCCGTAAAAATAATTCAAAATAAACTGGGAAAATGGTCTGTGGGTGCAACTCAATAATAAAGCATTAATCTAATATACACAAGGTCCTAGGTTTCATAACAAGCACATTGAATAAATACATTAATTAAATACAAATTTCCAAAAGCAACAAAATATAAAAACTTGAAATCTATTTTAATATTTCTGACATTTCAACACGTAATCAATATAAAAATTGAGATATTAGAATTTCCCTTGAAGTCCTGGGAATCTGTTACTTCAGCACATCAAAGTTTAGACTTACCACACTTTGGGTACTCAGTAGTCCCATAAGGCCAGTGGCTACCATATGCGTCAACACAAGCAAAACCCACCCTTGTTAGTGGTAGTCAGTAAAGATGCAAACAAGTTCACTTCTATGTAACTCACCCAGTTCTGTCTGTTTCTGTTTCCCACCAGTCTGCGGGGCAGACACTGAGGCTATTTTTGAGGCCTAACCTGTTCTGTATCCTTCAGCGCTCCGTTCCATCTACCATCTCCCTGGGTCTTTTCCTCTCTTCCACCAACATTCAAACATTTCTCTCCTGAAGGCTTGTTTCCTAGCCCATGCTTATCGTCTTCTCAGTCTTGCCAGTAGGGAATCCTAACCTGAAGTAGCTTCAGTAGCTTTTCACCTAACTCCTGCAAGAACTTTTCTGCAGGAACACATCCATCAGTGTTGTGTTCCTGCCATTTAGATCCAGGCAATCATTTCTCTATTAATCCCTCTCTCACACATACCACCTCTGCAGAACCTCATGATCTGAGTCCTCCACAGTAACTCTCCAATGTGTAAGAGGGCAGGTTTCAGTTATTCTTGAATTATGAAACAAAAAGTCTGTATCCTACTGATGATTATTTTGCCCGTGGATGAGCTGTTGCTGTGGGGTACTGAATCCCCTTAAGAGAAAGGAGAGTTACCCTGTGAGTGATCTGCTGTGCCAGGTCTGAGGTGTGGAGGCCATTCTGGGGCTGTGTGGTGCTAGTTCATAGTCTGCATGCACCTGACTGCTTGCCATTGTTTTCACTGATGGTAGTCAGGACTCCTTGGGGTTATGCTGAAGACAGTTTTCCTAAATCAAGCAGACCCAAAACTTCCAATTTTAATAGCTTTTTAAAAACTCCAAAATTTAAGCAAAATACTTTTCTCCATCTCTAGAATGTGTTGTGTGTTTATTTACATGCTCAGGAAATACTTTATGGCTTCCTAGGGTGACATTCTTCTAGAGTTCAGGAAGTGGGACCCTACCACTCTTCTGATCCTGAGCTCCCTTGATGCTATGGAAAAGAGAAAGCTGGGGCTCACCTTTCTTCTGTTGGCTGAGAAGTAGCTAAGACTAGGCTGTGAGAATATCCCTCACCACCTCTTACTAAAAACAGTTGAGAGACTTGAGAGTGAGGAAACTATGGGGCTAGGAGTGGAGTTCAATGGTAGAGTGCCTGCCTATCAGGCCCAGGCCCAGGGCTCCACCAGCACTGCAAGAAATTAAGCCTTTTTTTTTTTTTAAAGAAGAAAGAAAAGTGCACCAGGGAGAGTTACTGTTAATCAGCATGAACCCAACCCACAGTGAATGTCTTTGGTCTAAACAGAGGCTTGGCCTGGCTGATCCAGTGAAACAGATTCCTATCATGGGGAGACTGAGATGGGAGGCAGGGTT